CACTGGCATTCGTCAGAGACAGCGATAAGGAAGTGCCGTCTGATCAACAGCAGCCAAATGCCGGTAGTCAGCTCCAGGTCAAGACGCTGGCTATACAGTCGACACGCGCGTTAGGGAGGTATCGCACCCATAAAAGCACACACACCAATCTACCCCGGCATGGGCGAGGGTGCAGCGCCTCTGGCCAGCAGCACAGAGCAAACCTGTGCACTGTGACCCTGCCACCCTCTCCCCCGGACGCCGGGGACACACGTGGTTCCAGAGAGCAAGGCCACCCACTCCCCCGGAAGCCGGGAACACACGTGGTTCCAGAGAGCAAGGCCACCCACTCCCCTGGAAGCCGGGAACACACGTGGCTCCAGAGAGCAAGGCCAAGCTCTGAACTTCCCCGCTGCCTGCACTGAAAGGGAAAGGCAGGAGCGTGCATGCTGTGGGCTGCGGGCCTGACGTGCAGCTCCTCTGCGTGTTCTGAGTGGACAGGACAGCACACTGTATGTTTGCACTCCAAGGGAAAAAAAGGGTTTTCTTTGTTTTTTAGCTCAGACTCTCCTTAGTATTCCTTCACTTTAAAACTTTAAGTTCTAACTATTAAAAAATAAAGTATTTTCTTGTTTCTTGATAATTCTTGATTTTTTTTCTCCCAGTCCTCAATTTTTGGGTGGATGTTTGCCTTTGCTGCCTCCTGCTTTCAGGAGTTACACTGTGCCGGGTGCGGAATGACTCAACAACGGGCCAATAACCATTAAAAATCCAGCAGTGTCCTTTTCAGGGCTTCTCTAGTTTTAACCAAGCACGCGGGGTTTTGTTCTGTAAACTTGTCTTACTGAGAAAGCCTGTGTTAACGTTTTCCTCATCACCGAGGACGGAGAGAGGAGAAGGCTGCTCGGGAAAGGCTCTCCTGCGAAGCGTTCCTGTGTGAGGCCCTACTAACCACAGCTCCAAGGGAAGCTGGACGGTGACTGCACGGCACATGGTCCTACATCCACCCCAGGAGAACAAGACCCGAACACCCCCACACCCACACCTCAGTAACACCAGGCACTGCGCACATGCACTTCTTCCCTTTATGTCACTGCTGGGCTGGCCTCCTCACTGAAATCCAGCAGCTGTAAACACGCAGCCCCCGCTATGAACATACTGATGTACTTTCCAGCCTGAGCTCTGTGCACCAGCCAGGCAAGCTACGAACGGAAGTGTCTCACCCTCACAGCACCTCAGTTTCCCCCTTGTAAGACAGCAGTTGTGCGACCTGTCTTGTTAGTACACGAGAAATGCTTACAAAAATGCCTAGCATATTACGAGCACTCAAGAAAGAGGCGAACCTTTAAAGCTGCACAGCCACAAAGCAGCTGAGCTTTCACAAAGGAAACGTCATTCCTGAACCTCTTAGCCATTCTTTATTTTGGGGACAGGACATTTATAAAGACACCTACCTTCTTTATAACATCTTCCAAAAGGAAAACAAACAAACAAAAAAAACAGTGGCTCTTAACTATACCAAAGAGGCAGGTAGAATATAAAATCAGCGCGTCTTTACAGAAGAGAGTAAAGGCCCTCCACACTCTACGCGTGCTCTGTAGCATGGCAGACAGTACAGCAATGTGGGAGGGAACAGGGTCTATCCATGACCCTGCTGTTTGGCTTTGAAATTATAAATTAAACCATCACGACTCTTGAAACACAAACATGTCACTTTCAACACCTTTTCACCTTCAAGTATATTTGCCCTTTTCAACACACTGACAACATCAATCCATAATCACATACGGTGAAAATGTCTTAAAAACTTGCATTTCTAAGATGACATTTTTATACTACTCCATTCACAATCTTTCCATGCTAAAAGACCGATCCCAAAGCGACTGCAGAGGAAGGGGTGCTCACTATAATAACTCAACATCAGAAAAAACTCCCCACGTAACGTGGGAAAGATTATCACATGTAAGTGCAGCTCTGCGTCAGAGCAACTCTGAAAACCAGCTTTGGGGAAATTAAATGGACATAAATAATTTGATACACTTTAAAGACAGTCGGGCCACATTATCTCCTTAGCGACAGGATAAAATCTGTTCATGCCCTAAATTACGCTTCACACACTATGTTGGCCTCAGATTTCAGAGGCTTATTTAAACAAACAGTAATGTCTGCTAAATGTATGCTCTGGGACAGATTTTAATATAATTCTCACATAATCGTCATTTGTATACACAGAACACAAGCTACGCTCCTGAAAACGTATGAATAAGCAAATATTTACACACATTGCTTAGATTTTAGACCTTTCCACTACAAGCAATGAGGCAGTTTTGTTAAATAAGTGAACACTATTTATAGATGCAGAGTAGAATTTCCAAATATGCAATGCATTTAATTTAAAATAATGTAGCTAATTCCAAAATCACTAATTTTGTTAATATTTAATGAAAGCAGTCAGCACTCGCAGGACCCCTCTCGTGAGCTTGAAGGGCATCTGAGGTGTCTGAGTGGCCAACTGCTGCTTCTCGGGACACAGAGGCTTCACGGTGTACCTGGGTCTTCAGCTCCCCCTCTTTCTGACAGCCCGTTTCACTACCGCACTGGACGTGCCTGCAGCTCTTTCTAAAGGAACTTGGTAATGAGGATTCCCTTCTCAGACAAGAGTAAACAGCCTCAGAAATGTCTCAAAACAGAAAACTGGGTATCACCACAATTGAAGGAAATCAAGGCAATAAAGGCACTAGATCCCAAAGAGCTTTTTGTTTTTTTTTTTTTTGTTTTTTTTTTGGGGGGGGGCGGGTACGGGTGACGGTGTGCGTGCGCGCACACACACACACACACACAAGTACACCTGACTGGGAACTGGAGGCTGACATCAGGATGGCTTCACCCGTCGTCTTCCACTCGCATTTCTGCTCAGGGTCTGTCACTGAGCTCCCTTTGGGCCTGTCCCAGGACCTGCTTGTCTTTCCACAGCAGCCCTGAGGCGCAGGTGTGCTTGACCACACCAGTGTTTCCCAGGGGCGAGAAGACCCCGATCTGGCCCTCACACCGCTCAGGCACCATCTTTCCTGACCGCACAGGCACTCCTACGCCTTGGCCCATGCTACGTCTATGCCTATGTTTTCATGGCTATCATCATATATGGTTGGAGACGAAAGAAATTAACTTTCCGTTTTGGTTTATCTGCCCTCCTCTGCACTTCAACGTAAAAAAAAGAAAATCTGAAAATAAGAATCATTGTTGATCATTCAGTGCGGCACAAAAGTAGCCTTACTTATATGTATATGAAAAACCATGAAGCTACTAGTTAAAATAGTATTTTACCCACCCAACAAAATTAGATGACACGTTTCTTATAAGTGGCAGTAACAGGCCTGGAGAGATGGCCCAGCTGGAAAAGGCTAAGCTCACAACAAAAATATACGAGATGGCAATAATCTACAAGCAAAATTCAATGTGAATAAAAAATCCCGTCAGAAATTTTTGATTGCACGTAATGTCTGGCAGCACTGTTCTCATTTATTTTGATAAATATTCTCAGCAAAACCAGACAGCCTTCTAAGAGAGGGAAGAGGGGTAAAAGCTATAGGGCAGCAATGAAGGGAGCCTGCTGCCTCGGCTGCCGACCAGATCGGTGTGTGAGCACCACGGCTCACCACATCAAGTGTGCTCATCTACTGGACAACAGTTCCACAGATGGAGCAATAAGAAACTGGCATCTAAAATAGGCCTTCCCGCCTTATTAGGTCTTTAGTAATAATTTTCATAGTAGAAAACACAGAAATGGGAATTTTCACTGTTTCTGGGGTCCTGGGATCAAACGTGTGAAGTAAGCAATCTCCCACTGGGCCACATTCTGAGCTCAGGAAAAATGGTACAATTGTAGCAAATTACAAAGTGCAGGGAGTCTATGTGAATTCATCTTCTAATAAAAGGGAAAATGAGAGCACAGGTACAAGAGGCAAATATGGAGTATGTAAGGACTAGAATCTGAACAAAGAAAGGCACAAAGCCAGAGAAAAATGACTACACAGAAAAGGCAAAGGCCACACCCACAGGCTCCTCAGGCGGAAAATGGCAGCTGCTGCACTGGCACTGGCGCCCGTGGAAGGGCCAGGCACTACTCTCCCACGGCCTCCACGCTCACCACGCCTAGAACGCACAGGCAGGATGTCTTGCCCTGACACTGGGAAGGAAACTGGATGGGGCGTGAGCTTTTCTCAGAAAACCTTTTCTGCAGAACCAGGCGGTGACTGCTACCTGAGGGTGAAAATCAGGCTGACCTAGCCTTCTTCTGGGAAGAAAGGCAGTGCTAAGAGCAAGAACTCGGACACTGAAGTTTCCACACACTTATTGAGTGGCAGGTGCTGGAGGCAGTGGACGACATTGATGAGCAGGAGTCCAGCATCAAGGAGCACAGTGAAAACACAAAAACGCACAGTGCGGCTATGGAAGGACCGTGAGAGAAAAGGACACCCTCAGGACAGGGGCCGAGAAAACGACTCCATAAAGGGGTGACACAGCAGAGAAGCTACGGTCTGAGCTCAGGAAGAAGGGCTCCAGGCAGGAAGCGCCTAACTTAGCATCAGATTTGAAGAGGGATCCACCCAGCTGTGATGGGATCCCGGCAATCCAGAGGCTGTAGGAGCAGCCGAGGCTGAGCCTATCTGCTCCAGGCTGAAAGCAAGAGGGAACAGTCACGCTGGACAACCTGGAACAGGAACTCTTGCTTTGTCAAATAAAAATGCCCTTAGAGGACAGTAAGGGCTAGTTACTGTTCGCTATAGTAACAATGTTTCCTTGAATGCATATAGAAAAACAAGTACAATAATTTTTAACTTGTCATCTAGTTTATTAAACATATTATTTTTAAATTTTAAGCTAAATAAAAAATTTATTTAAAAAGTTAAAATGTGTTAAAGGTAAAATGGTATTTAAAAATTCTTAAACTCACGTGAAAATAAATCAAATTTATTTTTTAGAAGACAAACGTATTTCAGATAGTTACTAAGAAACATTACCTTGGACAAATCTCTGAAGTTGCTTGGCAGGGTAAGATCTAGTTCTTCTGACTCATAATTAGTGATGACCCAGGGAAACACAGGGTACTGATTTAAGTCATTATAACCCCGTCCTGGGAAGGAAAAAAAAAATCTGTTTAATTTAGTGGAAAGCATGAGAGATTATTTAAAGTAACAAGAAAAACTACTATTTTGGGTTCTGGTCACTGCTGTTAGAGTTGAGTGTTACCTCATCTGGCCTTGGCAATCACACTGTGAAACCGGCATCGTTACTTACACACACTTGTGATGAAAATACGTAGGCTCAAAGGTTAAGAGCCTTCCTCAAATCACATGACTCGAAACACCAAAAACATACTCAAGTTTAGGTATGTGGTCCTGATGTTTATGTTGGCAAATTTGACCTTGTTATCTGAAAGCCAATTCCAAATAAAAGGCCCTTTCTAGAGAAAGAAAGCGCTGGCTAAACGCTGAGCATGCTCTCCACACGCTCTGCCATCGAGTGCACTAAGCCAAGAGCATGCTCCATCAAGACTAAAAAAGAATTTATTTTGATAGAAAAATTCAAAATGACAATCATTTTCTCTGTTACCAGTTAATCAACCAACTAACCAAAGAGTCACCACTTTTCAAGTAACCAACCAGGCAGGCAGTCAGCCGCGCCCGCAAGGACGGGGCCGCGGCTGCCGCGCGTTGTGCGTGCGCTGCGCAACCCTGGGACCGCCCGAGGCTCGGGGCTCGAGGCTCTCGCAGGAATGCGCAGCACCCTCTCTCGCTCCGCCCCCACGCTCTTCCACGTCTCCTTCCAAGCTGGTGACACAGTGACTGTGCCCTCACTGAGACGCTCTAAAAATGTGCATCCTGAAGATGAGGCGGCCTCTGTACGTTACAGAGTTTTCTGGCCTCAGCAGGAGCGCGTGAGGTGGCTGCTTTTGCTGTCAAGATGCAGCCGCGTGAATCCCGGGTCTATGGCTATCTATCTATAGCCTAGTTCTGATGAAACTAATATTGAAAAGATTTTATAGCTGAAGCACAGGGCCCAGAGACTGTTACGACTGCTCAAAATCCTTTCTTACTGCTTCCTTTAATTTTTCTCTTTCAGAAAGACGCTGCTATCGTACCACACAATGAATATTAAGGTGATTCTCTAGACAGACGACGGGCGAACGGCCTGATGTAGTTAACAAGGTCTTCCCTCGCTCTTCTTGGGCTTGAGGTTCATGAAGACAACCCAATGACCTGGAGAGTCTTACAAAACTTGTAAGTGTGGCATGTGTGTGCAGGGCCCTTGAAGCCAGGAGTCAGGAGGAGGTACAGCAAACACTGCAGGTGGAGCCTGCTGGGCCCCGCCCAGCCTTACGGAACTCAGCAGGAACACTTTTAATCCACAGGTTATTTCATTACAATTCTACGCTCTTAATTTCCATTTTCTCGGAAAAACAAGCAAGCACATTAGAAATCATCTCTCCTCACCTTCCACGTTCTTCTCGGTATAATTTAGATCTTAGTAGGCAGTAACTCTATCTTTGATAGTCCCAAATAATTAAAAGCTCACTGTATTCAAAGAGAACAGTAGGCACTGTATCCATACTGTCTGCAGTGCCTGGACCTTTCACTCCACTAAATGGAACACATAGCTACTATAGTAATCCTGACTGTGCAAGGAGCCATGATCTGTGTCAATCTACATGTGGCACAGGTAGCTGCAAAAGAAATCTCACTGACCCCCAGCCCACATGCTAGTGTATATTCTAAACAAACTATTACTTGTACCTTCAAAATGTATTTACTTAAAAGGCACTGTAGAACAACAAAAGCTATCTGAAGCTAGGATCATTAAGAGCTCCTTTACAACTGTTACTAGACACACAATTAAATTCAGTTAACTGACTTACTACACACAAAAGTGTCCACTAAACGTGTAAATCCTCCCATCCCACAGTACTTAAAAATTCGTTAACAGTTATACCATTAGTACAAAAGTCAACCTAGTTGTTCACATTTTATCAAGCCTTGTCCTTAACTAACTACAAGATGGCTTCCCTGTAATTTAAAATTGAGCACATCAGCTTCTCACTTTTTGTAGTACTCTGTTTCTCCGTTCTTGAGCAGGACCTTCTTTTCTTTACTGAGTCCTCGAGGTCCTCCCCATCATAACTGGAGTCCCAGTTCCTCCTTCCGTTTCTCAGGGTTTCTCCTGCTGTCTTGACCCGTCTGCCCTCCCCTATCAGTTCAGAAATTAATGTCCATCTGGAGTCCGCACAGTCCATATAGCCAGTCATTGATGACGGGAAGACAGTCAAGTCACAGCAAGTCCCCAGGCACCCAAGCCTTACACTGATCCTCATCTTTCCCTACCCCCACCCCATGACAGGCTTCTCTGTGTAGCCCTGGTTACCCTGGAACTCCCTCTGTAGACCAGGCTGGCCGGCCTCTGCACACCAAGTCCTGGGATTCCAGGTGTGCATCCACCACCATCCAGCTCTTAGAAGACTTTAGTCCTTACTTTACAGTAACATTTGACACAGGTCACCAATGGTTTCCTCCTTTTCAATCTGGACTCTCAAAACATCAGATTCATCTCACTTTCCTCTGTTAACCCCGGGATTACTTTTTCTGTTCTCTCCTTCCTTCCTTCCTTCCTTCCTTCCTTCCTTCCTTCCTTCCTTCCTTTCTTCTAACCTTCCTTCTATCCTTCCATCCAACCCTCTTTCTATCCTTCCAACCTTCCTCTTCTATCCTTCCCTCTTTTTATCCTTCCTTCCTTTCCTCTTATACAAATACTTGTCCTGAACTCTGACCTCACTATTTTCTTACCACCTTTCCTGCTGATCTCCTTTCTCACTCAGCAATTTCCTCTCTGTCAGCAGAACACAGTCTAGACTGTGACTATTCTCTGGCTCCTGCCAAATGTTCTTTCAGGAATTTCACAGAGATGTCTTGTCAGGATAGCACGAGCACCACACTTGCCTAAATTTCTGTTAATGTATCAGTCTGCCAACAACAGGGTCAGAGGCCAAGTGCGTCTATTCTGATGACCTCTCCTCACCACCTGCAACCTCGTTGGCTGCAAGCCACATGGCCGTGGCTTGTGCACTTCTACACCAACGGGCTCTCAAAGGCTCTTGTCATTTCCAGTTCAGGCCCTCAAGACATTTACAGGTAACTGCTCCTGAATTTAGCCCTTTGCCTAGTCTGTCTACCCCAGTGTAGAAACCCCCAGGTTACTGCCGCACAGCTCAGACGCCACATACTCTCAAAAGCTCTCCACACCGTCCCAGTGAACTGCCAACTCAGACTGAAGGGGACCTGCTACAGCGTCTCCACACTAAAGTGCCTTTTTCTTGTATTTTTATGGGAAATATCTATTGTGTACACATACATATTTGAGAACATAAATTATACCACTGGCTTTTCTCCAGACACTGTGCTTTGTATATGTGCGATGCTTTTAGCTTCACACAGGCTAACTTCTGACCTCCCACCATCTTCTCCATTGAAACAGCATCTTCACATGAGTAATGACAGCATTATATTCCAAACTACTGTGTAAATATAATTTCCATTCCTTCTTGCCTTCTTAAATTCTATATTCTTTTATTCTATAATCACAGTTTAAGCACCTCTAATCCAAAGCATTCAGGCATCGAGTTTCGGTCTTCAGAGAACCCTGGATTTGAGTGCTTGAATTAAGGGTATTTAGCTCATGGTCCATGCACATATTCCAAAATCTCTGGGACCTGCAATCATTGTTGTCCTAAGCATTTCAAGTAAGGGGTATTCAACTTGTACTTATATTATGAAGTAAAGTAACTTCTCCGTGAGCAGAAAAGTACCTTTTCTTTTGTATATCTTTTGTGCCTCAAATATATACCATGTCATTGCTGAAATGAAGCACAAACGTTACACAAGCAGACTCCGTTTGCTTATTCTAGATGCAAAGTATGAACACATTTCTATTCTTTATTCTTCAAAAAAACAGTTTCAGTGGGTGATTTTCAATATTACATGATTATACATCTTGTAAGGACCATTTAATCTTTACATTTTCACATATGGTTCTTCATATGAATATTCATTTATCATACTGTACTGTTTCATCATATAACTTATTTCTAACATATTAATAGCTCTTAAATCTTATAAGGTTCTTCATTCCTACTATCTTATAGTAGTTCTATTTCATATTACATAACTGTAAATTCTTTTCTCTTTTTTGGAAATGTTTAATCCTCAAGTATTCAACCATTCACATGCAAAGTTATATATTTTATTAGGAATCTACCTTCATAAGAGACTCAACCGGCAATAAAAACAAGCTACTTACATTGCTACTAAAATAATATGAGCATATCACAGTGGACATTTGTGACCAAAACCAGGTCCAAGTGTGCACTTAATTTACCTGCTATTGTGTTGAGAAACATCAAGTACTCGAAGTTTGAAATCTCTCTGTGCTGCCACCGCTGAGTCATATTTGAAGCCTTAAAGAGCTGACGGGGAGTGGCTAATGAAATACGCCTGCAAAAAAGAGCATGAGAGAAAACAAACATATTAATTAGACTACAATAATAAATCATGAATTATCTATACTCATACAATAGTCTTTTTTTTGGGGGGGAGGGGGTTGTTGAGAAAGGGTTTCTCCATATAGCTCTCGCTGTCCTGAACTAGCTTTGTAAACCAGGCTGGCCTCGAACTCACAGAGATCTGCCTGCCTCTGCTTCCCTGAATTTTGGAATTAAATGTGTGTGCTACTATGCCCGGCTCATTCAATAGTTCAATAGTGTTCATGAAACCTATAATTCTGAAAATTAATATCCATGTCCGACCAATGAATATTAGCACTGTTTTGACCCACAGTTAACAGATAATAAATGATTTGTACTATCAATAAGTCTATTATATATGTCTGTTCATTCAGTTAAGCAGGCCTTACAATACTGTAATACTCAAGTTTCATAGAGACTGATTAAAACAGTGTGGTCAAAGACTCCCAACAGTGTGCAAAATTGTGTTCACACGTCTATCCACTTTAATATTATTAATATTAATCTGTATTAATCTTACAGATTAAATGTATACATTATAAGGTTATATATTATGTTTGCCCAGATTCTGTAACAAGGGGAAAGACACGTCTAAGCAATCTGTAGGATAAATGAAGACAGGAAAACTATTGAGCTTTTTTTAAATGTAGTTCCTTAGAAGACCCAGTAAAGAAATGTAAATACTTAGAACTGGCTAACAGAAAAGCAGTGGGAAACAGGGATGGGGTGGGGTGGGGTGAGCAGTACCAATCATAGCATTATTCATTCTAAGAGTATAAACTGCAAAGATTTGACAAGAAATTTTTATATTATTAGCACAATCTACTGCATAGCATTTTCTCTACAGCAAAACTACCTTCTCTGTAAGTAACAGAAGTTTGTTTCTTTGTGAACTCAGTTATGTCATGTAAATATATTTTGTTTTAATCCCAAGTGTGGGATTTTAGTTGGGCCTTCGTTTGTCCACAGCTGATAACTGTCATGTGCAGGACGTGGTCTTTGCCAGCTGGTAACGGCCTGCCTCAGGCAGCACAGAGAGGGGCGTGGTCTAGGCCTCTGAGGATGTAACTCTGACAGCCCAGAGAGAGAAAGTGTGGCTTGCGGCTTACCGTGTTGGTGTATGGTGAATGGCAGTTTGGAGCAGACAGTTGGAGAGAAACGCTTTGGGTGCAGCGGCTTGGGGAAACCGCTGGCTGTGTCTGGTGCTGACGGAGATAAAGTGCAGCCCTAAAAGAGCCGCTGACCCTCAAGAGCCGGGAGAAGTAACGGGGTCTGCGCCCCTCTCCCACTAACCTCCTCTCTCCTACCTAGGGTTGGGGGTTGGAAGGGACAGGCTTTGAGGAAGCCCGATAGATAGTTTAACACAAGCGCTGCAGCTGCATTGGCAGGAGCCCGCCGGAGAGCGACGCCCAGTTCGGGGCCCGGGCCTCTCCAGCGTCTCCTGCACGCTCTTCTCACGCTCTTCTCGCGGATTCTTTTGAGACCCAACAATATGATTGTGTGATCTTATACAGAAAAGGTGTTTTATCTAAGAAGACACATTTAGGTTGCTTCTGGTCTCACACTTCTGTGCTTGTTGCTAGTGTACACTCCCACCATCTCTTTCCCTTTGGAGATTCTGGGTTCCTCAACTGTATCTTCCACGGTTTTTGTTTGTTTGTTTGTTTGTTTGTTTGTTTTAAACACGCTACCAAACTCTTTCCCAAAGTAGCTGGATTGCTAAATATTCCAATAAGCAGTTCTGAAACCACCCCCACATCCTTGGACACCCACCACTGTATGTATTTTATTACAGCGGCTACGAGAGGAGCCTCGTGGTCCAGTGCCCACTGCGGAGAGTGGCCTGGCCTCCTGCTAACCAGCCTGTGTTTCTGTGGTGGTGACACTTTTTGTTCTTTCAGAGGATTTTCTCAGTTTGTGGAAATACCTTCCTATTGCTAGTCAGTCCAGTGTTTCAGTCACAAATGTACGACAGAAATTGTGTTTTCTGTGTCTGTGAAGAGGTTTTCGTCATTTTGTTCTTTAAGCAATATATATTTATTTCCAGATTTAAACCTATCTTCATTTCTAGCTACTTGTTAATAGTTTATCTATACTAATGAGTTGGTTTGGTAAATTTTATCAAAATAATTTCGTGTCTGTGTTCACAAGAGTTACTGGCCCAAAAGTGTCTGCTTTCTGGTCTGCGGGCACTGCCCATCCCAGGGTGAGTCAGAAGACATTTGCTATCCTCTGAAATTGGAATTTGCTATCATTCTATTCTGAACATCTGCTATGATTCACTACTAGAGATATAAAGGCCAGGGGCTCTTTTAATAGATGGTTTTAATTAATAATTCAATTTCTTCACTTGTTATGAGCTCATTCAGATCTTTAATTTCGTATTGAGGCAGTTATGGTAACTTTTTCATGGGTTTGTCGAGGTAAGCCTGCTGCCTGATTTCCCTACACTCTACTTTGTGTCTCTCCCACCCTTTCAGTTTCATGTGGGGGCCACGTGATGCTGGTTCCTTCAGCCATCTTCTTTTTCATAGGTGCTACAGCCTCCCAATTTGACTTTCTCAAACAGCAGCTCTCATTTCAATGGGCTGTTTTACTGTGTTTGTTCTACCTGTTATAAGCTTTATTATTCATGCTATCCTGTTACCTTTGAATTTAGCAGCTTAAAACCCTGACATGAGACGTTTCTGTCATCCAGACAACATGTTTAAAGTCCCTCAATCTCCTTCAACTGTGTCAGCCACAGCCCAAAGTTTGAATGTGTCACAGCTCTGTTGTAGAAGACACAGGAGTTGGCAAGTGCACCAAGAACTGACGGCAAACATGGCTGCAGGAGACAAAGAACAAAGCCCCACATCTAGGTGGTCTCTGAAGGCTGGAACAGGAAGGAGACAGAAAATTCTCTCTCCCCGCCATGTCTCATAGTGCCTCACTCTAAGGCAGCTTTGTAACTCTTTGGACTGTTTAAATGGAAATGGCCCCCACAGGCTCACGTGTTTGAACACTCCATCCCCTGTTGAGGCCAGGTTAGGAGGTGAGGCCTTGTTGAAGGAGGTGTGTCACTGGGGTGGGCTTTCTCAAAGCCCTTGTCTTTCACAGTGAGCTTTCTGTTTCCTTCTGTGGATAAGAATCTTAGCTCTCAGCTCCTACCACAGCACCTGACTGCGCGAGGTCACGACCTCGAACCTTCTGGATCCACGCATGCAAATTAAATGCTTTCTTTATGTTACCTTGGTCATGGTATTTTGTTAGGGCAAGAGAAAAGTTTCTAAGACAACGCTGATATAAAGAGTGTTTTCTTGGTTAATTTTCTAGTAGAAATTCAAACGATGAGATTGAAGAAAACTTCCTGAGTGGGAAAACTCCAATGACTCAAGTGAAGCCTTTAGGCTTATGCAGTAACTTGGTGTTAAGTCTCAGAATCAGTGCTGCACACGTAAGGAGCATTCGTCTGCAGATCCGGATATTTTGGATCAAAAAAGCCACAACAGGAAAAGTGCTCATAACTGCCATGTGCCACCAGAGATGGGCTACGTGTTTAGCACAAGCATCTCCAATGTCTTACATCCCACTGGCTGATAAGTCACATGTTTAGGTCTTAATGTCCTCACATGCAGTGTTATCACATCTAAACTGAAAATCTCAGAAACAACAAAAATTTTGCCCCTGTTTACCAAGTATAGCTTGCTGATACTGTGTGGGGAATTCCCAGCTAAACTACTGCGGCTGTGAACAGGCACCGCTCGGTCTTACCGACTTCCTGTGCGAGCTAATTGTATGTAAATATTACCAACCCTTGGACTCACATTCCCTTGGATCTGTGTTTTAGTTGTTTTGCTTGTTGAGGGGAAGTGGTTCTGTCCCTCCCTCCCTCCCCTCCCTTCTTTTCTTCCTCCCTCCCTCCCTCCCTTTCACATCTGTAAAACAACTGTCTTAACTACAGTGGTTTAATTAGTAAGTTTCCTGTTGATGTTGAGACTCCTTGGGGTGTAGCCCTAATTCCTCTTGCCATCAAGTCTCTCCCCAGATGGACTCCCTCATCTCACACATGGGACATGGAGTCCCAGGTGCCAGGTCTCTGCATATGGTTTTAGGTATGTTCAGGAATCTAATTTCCTATTCAGCATTTACAACTGAGCATTTCTTTTGAGTTCAATTTCAATATAACTAAGGTCAAGCTTACTTTCTATCTTCTTCCTCCCTACAATCTCAATCATGAAGACAGGAGCATCCAATCATTGGATCTCTAGTGCTGTTACCTTGAGGAGCTCAAGCCAAGCCTTGAAAATGTCTATCTCCTTTCATCAGTCTCCAAATCCTAGTTATATTTCCGACAACTCTCAAATTGGTAAGCCTCTCTTCATTAACATTACCATTATCATTCTGTTAATAATTGGATTTTTATATCAACCTCTCTTCCTAAGTCACTGTTAGTTGCCTTTTAATATTTCCCTAGAACAATGAAAGCTCGATCTTGTTTCGGGACTTCTGTAAAACTGTCCCTTCCTAACAGTCTTGTGGGAATACACTTACTTACCCACAGACTTACCTCCACAGCTACTTAATTCACAGATGTGTTGGAACATCTATGGACACAGGTGTCTACGCTGTATATTGCTACATATCTGACATATCTTAAGAGCTGAAAAGCTATTTCAAAAACTGATTAAGGGGGCTGGAGAGAGAGCTCAGAGGTTAAGAGCACTGTCTGCTTTTCCACGGATCCTGAATTCAATTCCCAGCCACCACATAGTGGCTCCCAACTATCAATAGTGAGATCTGGTACCCTTTTCTGGCATGTAGGCAGAACACTGTATACATAATAAATAAATCTTCAAAAAAATACCAGAAAAATTCAAAAAAGTACCAGTGCACATGTACAACTCTAGAGTTGATTGAAAAATAAATTATTAAAAAAGATTAATGAATTAAGACTTTCGTCATTCATTGACTGTGACAAAACACTACAAAGAGTCCCCAGGTACAGCCAGAGACGACATCAGTAGAAAAGGCCTTTATAGCCGCGCGCGCGCGCGTGCGCGTGTGTGTGTGTGTGTGTGTGTGTGTGTGTGTGTGTGTGTAAACTTGGCGTTGCTAAGGATTGAACCCAAAGCCATGCTTGTGCTATGCAAGTTATCCACCAGTGAGGCATGTCCCAGCCTTGTCTTCTGCATGAAATGCTATTATCTAGTCAAAATCAATTCTGAGAGTGTACAACAACTATTGTATCTGGTCTATAACAACTTTGCCATTTTCATAGGAAAGTAATGACCTGAGACATTGTAAGAAGAGATGCTTAGTTCTCTAGGGGGTGGGGGGTGGGGGGGCTGAGCTGCCCTCAGTGGCTCACTGAGGTGAATACAGCGGAGCAAGGCTGAGCCCCACAAAGTCCTGTCTGAGCCGCCTGCTCTATGGAAGCTGTGCCCACCTTCTGCATCCTCGTGAGAAACAGCACATGGAGAGAGACTGGAGAAACACAGCTTACTACCAAGAGGCCTGCTGCAGAGCCCCACGCCCAGGGCCGCTCCCGCCTGCCTCAGGACCACCGTCTGCACATGCCACCTCAGTGACATTTGTCACTGCATAGCACCATCAAAGATGAAACAGACGGGTAAACACCAGCTCAGGGCAGGGGTACGGCCCAGTGCTAGAGTGCTTGCTTAGGATGCTCAAGGCCCTAGGTTTTATTCCCAGCAGCACAAAAACAGTGAGATAAAAAATCCAACTCAAAAACTCAGGCATGCTAAAAGTAAACTGTCATTGCTACTCATAAACACCTTTCAACTCAGGAAAATTCAACTCACAGTTCGCACTTCTACCAGATTTTAAGTAAGCTACTGAGCAGCTACTGAGTATTAGCAGCAAGTCAATGACAGAGAGAGACAACAGCTTCAACATAACTAGCTTACAGGCCTAGGAAAAAGGCTCTGCCACTCTCCCAAATCCTACACAATGAGACAGATATACTGTGTACTAAGAACTAAAAACACTGATGGGAGAAACCAAACAAGGCAAGTGGAGAGCTAGTCTATGTTTATGGATTATTTAAATGTCCTTTTTCCTTTGTCTAGGTAAGAAGTTTGTTCATTTTAATTTTTTCAAAAGAATCAACTTCGTTGGGCATGGTGGCACACACCTTTAATCCCAGCACTCGGGAGGCAGAGGCAGGCAGATCTCTCTTGAGTTCCAAGGACAGCCTGGCCTACAAAGTAAATCCAGGACAGCTAAGCTACACAGGGAAACCCTGTCTCAAAACCATCCCCCCACCAACAAAAAGAATCAACTCTTACTTTTATTGATTGTTTCTAACAGTTTTTAAAGTGTCTGTGTCATTTATTTCTGCATTGGCCCTTATTTTCTTTGTTCTGATTTTGTGCTTACTTTGTTTTAAAAATAAAAATTAGTCGCTGATAAAAACACTGAAAGGCTAATAAAAAATTCAACCCACAATTATAGTGCTAAGTTACCCCAAATATGGTTTATGAATAATTTAAAAACATTCCAGTGTTCTACATAGAAGTAAGGATGATCCTTCACAGTCTTTATTATACTCTAACACAAAAGTACATTCTTGACGAAAGTTTATAAAGTACACATACTGGACAGCACACCTCAGACAGGAAATATCACAGCCTTCCTATAAGTACTTGAAGCCACCGCTCCCCAAAAGTGACCCGGTGCCCTGACAGCTGCCTCGGGCGCTGCAAGGCAGTCTGCTCTTGCCGCCACTACAGCCATCCCTCAAGCTCACTGCTATGCGCCCTGCCGTGTGGGCAGGGCTGGCTTCTTTCCCACCCGAGCCCATC